CAATTGCTATGTGCAGTTGAGTTGGATCAAAACAGGCATGTTTGATGTGAGATTTAATCTTGCTTACCCTTGATCACCCTTGAATCTCGAGGGGTTTGATTATCTCCGCTTGTACGTGGAGTGTCCTTGGAACTGAACAATACTTAACAGAAGCGACAGAGAACGACATAACGAAAAAAAGAGAATAAAAGACAGACAGATGTGCACAAACACGTTTTGCTCCGAGGTATTCTCTCCTTAGATGGAAGGGCCGAAATTGAGAAGAACAACTGCATCTTCCCAGGACTGTCAGTGGAGTGTTTTATGTTGTGTTTGTGACTATGTGTGTGTTCTCTAATGATGGGCACCTGGAAGGTTTTGATTTGTGTGTCGTAAGAGAAGTAGCGTTCGTAGGTGCAGGAGTTTCTGAGGTCAGATTCTCATCAGGAACCTTTTACCTGAGGAGACAGACGAGTGTTTGGTCTAGCTGAATGTGAATGAGTATGTCTGGGTGTGAAACAGAGCAGATAAAATAACAGAGAGAGAGACAAAGTGCAGAACACAGATGGAGAGATAAAAAACGAGACAGATGTACTTTCTAGAAACAGACTCCGTTGTGAGGACTAAATTCTAATTAAAGTAAAAGCTTGCACAAGAAACATCTTACATAACTGCCATACTACCAATAAAAGTAACTAATTATGCCAAATAATTACTTTGAACAACAAGCACTGTTACTTTTTCCTCTTTTAGAAGAGTTTTTTTTTTTAGTTTGGATGAACAGTATGTTACCTTATTTTATATCTCAGTATATACAATTTTATATTCTTTGAATATTTTATAGCCGTCACTACAGGTCAGATTCAATCCAAGTAACAAGCACTGTTACTTTTTCCTCTTTTAGAAGAGTTTTTTTTTTTTAGTTTGGAAATGGAAATATATATATATATATATATATATAGTATGTTACCTTATTTTATATCTCAGTATATACAATTTTATATTCTTTGAATATTTTATAGCCGTCACTACAGGTCAGATTCAATCCAAGTTGTCACTCAGGTAGCAAATGTGGATTGACAACCAGCGTACCGGTAAAAAAGGAGCGTCTACAAATAGTAATGAAACAAAACTCTAAAAGCACAAACAAAATATTTGGATGAGTCAGTCAGTGCATACTCATTTACACAAAACATCATGTCAGAATCATGTCATGCTGATTACGATTCAGAAATGCTCTGAATGCAACCAGCAGACAATAAGACAAACAGTAAGACTGTTAAAATAAGAATGGTTTATTAAGTTTAATTCTGGTAATTGTCATTCATGTTTCGTTTACATGTTTGTAATCATTCTAAGGTAAACACGATTGGTACTGTTGTTTCCAACAATGATAAATGCTTTCGTTCTCGCCTGCCCCATTCTCACCAGCTGAAACTCTCCCGCAAGCTTGAGTATTTAAATCCTACAAATGTGTATCTAAATGCATATGAAAATGCCAAAACGCGCACGCTTTCATACGATCCCCTTGTAAAGTGCACCCTCATAAGACACATACGCAGACACATTTACATAGACATTCACTCTTGACATTGTCTGCAGCGGTCTGAGGAATGCTTACTCATTCCATTACTGCACTGAAGCCCCGCACTTTTCGAGAAACCCCTCCCAGCCCCGCCCACCAATATAGACTACAACAATCTCACACTGTCCTATAATAATGACTCTCCTTATGAAGAAAATGCACCTATTTCAACAGAGCAATGGATGAGGATTTTTTTGTAACTACTGTATGAGTTGTGACTCAATTTGCTGGCACGTGAACAGAAATAAAGGCCATGAAACGAACAAAAACAAACTAAATAATTTGGCATTAGCAAAGGTGAGGAAAGATCCCTCAAGAAAGCAGACAAAAACTCACAAAGTTTCAAAAAAGGATCAAATGATCAATAAATAACTCAATAAATTAAGTATATAAAGTAACATACTCAAAGAGCAGTTAAATATGTATCGTACGGTAAAAACTAATTCTGCATCGCAATTCTTCGATATAAAACAGCGAATTGCAGTTTACGACTCGACCGCTCTTACAAAAATGGCCACTATGCTAATCAGTGGCAATCCAGTACACGTACACGTACATACTACAGCAAATAGAAGTCTATCTATCATCTACCGTTCATTCGGTCCGATTCTCTTTCGTTATGTGCGCTGCTTGATGACCAAACTTTTTCGGTCACACAATGTACAAAAGTGATGGTCTCTGACCGATAATGTGCCAATAAAGGCCATGAAACGAACAAAAACAAACTAAATAATTTGGCATTAGCAAAGGTGAGGAAAGATCCCTCAAGAAAGCAGACAAAAACTCACAAAGTTTCAAAAAAGGATCAAATGATCAATAAATAACTCAATAAATTAAGTATATAAAGTAACATACTCAAAGAGCAGTTAAATATGTATCGTACGGTAAAAACTAATTCTGCATCGCAATTCTTCGATATAAAACAGCGAATTGCAGTTTACGACTCGACCGCTCTTACAAAAATGGCCACTATGCTAATCAGTGGCAATCCAGTACACGTACACGTACATACTACAGCAAATAGAAGTCTATCTATCATCTACTGTTCATTCGGTCCGATTCTCTTTCGTTATGTGCGCTGCTTGATGACCAAACTTTTTCGGTCACACAATGTACAAAAGTGATGGTCTCTGACCGATAATGTGCCTCTAGTTTCCAAGTTCAGCAATGGAACTAGGAAACTAGATGGAAAGCGTTTGCATTACAGCGTGTAGATGAGACTCCAGCCCGGCAACTAGCAGAAACAGCAGCCGTGACTTTCTGTGATCGATTCATAAGCCTAACACCTGAACTTAGTGACTGGCAAACAAGTTTTATTGATCTCTGCTGCAGCACTATCAATGACTGACACATATCGCAGTCACATAGGTATGTGTTGTGACAGAATGTTAAGACAGATCAAAGGTCTCCAATACTCCTCAAGTCCCTCAGCTGAGATTCAGAGGTCAAAGCACTGGCCACTATGATGCTCATCATATCCATTTGAGCTCATGTCAATCCCAAAATGTCCACCTCAAGAGCTGCCCCAGTCTGGATAGGTTCATTGAAGATGAGAACAGACGTAGCTAGAGGTAGAGACCTCACTGTCTAAACGGATTCACTTTTTTTTTTTTGAGAAGAGTGGACGTTCCATTACAAAGGCAAATTCTGAAATCGATGCATGTCATCCTTATTCCAGGTCCAAAATTGTGGAGACAAAGGCCACTATTTGGGTGCGGTAGATCTACAATTAGCTCCCACGTTTAGGGCTCGACTAGTGGTTAATCTGTTCTGATTGGATAATCTCTTCCACACAGGTTGAACGAAAGGCGATCTTTTTCTTGAAGCGCTCGGGACTGCTTGCTCAGAAATGTCAGAGAGAGAGAGACGGTTGCTAGGACACGAGGAGAGCAGCGAGGAGAAGCGTCGCCACAGTGATTAACAGTCGGTCTCCAGACGGACTGCTGCCACTGACACTCTTCTCCAGTTTAGGGATCTCAGGGTTAAACTCGTCTGAGAGAGAGAGAAATAGAGATCAAAGAAAGAAAGAAAGAAGGAAAGAAATTAGTGAGCATCTAAAACCTTTTTTTATACAGATAAACAGTCTACAAAACGATATAAGTTGCCTCAGAGTAAAATGTTCAAAAATATATACCTTTTTTAAAGAAGTTAATACATTAAATTCAGCAAGATTGCATTAAACTGATCAATGACAGTAAAGACATTTATAATGTTACAAAAGTTTCTGTTTTAAATAAAAACTATTGAACTTTCTATTCAATGAATTCTGAAGTATCATGGTTTCCACCAAAATATGAAGCATTGATAATAAGAAATGTTTCAATCAGCATAT